ATGGTTAGCACTAGTTAGGAGTTAAGAGTAACTAATATGTTGTTCTTTGACTTACTGGTATAGGCGCCTAATACATTCAAGTCAATAGTTAGATTGGATTAGCAGATAGTTGTAGATAAAATTCGGATTGAATGAAACAAAAACAAGAACCAGAATGATAATATGCAAGTATGCAATCCAACTGAATATTGTTTTTATTCTGAAATCCGAGTTGGAGGGAACCATTCTGAATTAATTCATTACGATTAGGATTGAATGACTTCGTGAACGCAGTGACCTCCTGCTACGTTACCGTAATCGCCTAAAGATCAGGAGCAGTTCCCATGATTCTCGAATGTGTTTCCAATTACAAGCAATTAAGCGGCGCCTCACGAAACCAGAGCGTGTCTGGTGGTGTTTGCCATGGCGTTGACCGAGTTCGATCTCTTTGCGCCATCCCTCATTGCACTTATCTAATTACAAACTGCCCACGGCTTACAAGCTGCGACAGCCCTCAAACACTGCCAAAACACTCGTTGAGGTGAATTCAGTGAGACTGATGCCAGCAAAGCCACTGCTCGAAACGCACAGCATTTCGCTCTTTAAAGACGTTAAGCGATAGCCTTAGCTTTATCTCCTCACAAACGTGCCAGACCAAAATAATAGAACGCCTTCACCATCTACTCTCATCTTGCAACCACGGAATATAAAAATTATATAGAATCTTGGTTATTATATACCGCTGAAGTTGAGTGTGCAAAATAGCTGATATTACGGATTAGTTTATTGTCCCCGGCCGATCTCTTCTGAAGCCATCAATATCACAACTTGGACGGAGAAGTCCGCCACCACAACAATCAGGTCACAGGTTCCTTAGTTGTAAGGGAACTTCACTACTGAGGAATTCTCTCAAGGGGCCTGACTTCTCCCTCTCAGACTGAGGCATGATTGGACTCTGAAAAACTGGAATTCAAGCTTTCCCATTAATCTTATTACCGAACACCAACGTCCAAGGTTCATCACTTGGAGTTATTTTGAGATATTTCCTTCAAATCTGGGCAATCCCTAAAAAGACAGCACGCTAATTTTTGCAATACGACCACTTATTTGATTAAGAACTGTAACCCAATAGTGTGACGTCAAACGACAAACATCAACGAAACTGCCAGTCAGCCATCTCCCATAATGATGTTCGATGGACATAGCCATTGAGAAGAAACGATCCCAATGTAGCGACCTTCGAGGCATCTAACTGCAAAATTAGTCATTGTCCTAATAACCACCCCGGTAATTGCAGTTCGCGTCAATTATTGCACGTCCTTAAATTACAACGGTTTAGTGTACGAGAGCGAGAACAGGGAATTTACCTCACTACTCGAGTTTTTTTCAGGTATGCACAAAAAGAGTATGGAGGCAGCGGCACATTTGGAGCAGGTGGAAAAGTCAAGTGACATGAGCGAAAGCGATAGTGATGACGGTCCGTCAAGTCGGAGCTCAATCAGCGCCACTGTGAACTCCCTTTATCACGATGATAAGGCAAGTGATCTGTGCACATTTCGACAGGGTTTGAGCAATCATCAATTATTTGGGTATTTCAGCTTATCGGACAACTCAGCCAACAACGGCTGCTCGTGGACCAACATGTGCACAATCACGGACCGTTTGTTCTGCCAAAACTCTACGAGCAATGATATCAGTTTTTAACAACATAAAATGTCTTGCCCATAAATACTTCCACTACCACCGTGATCGCAGTCAATACACACGATTACGGTATACGTAATTATCTCAAGTGTGATGATGACGGTGTCAAGAAGGCAGCAAAAGCGTCTCCTAATTGTTCGCGCGCAAACGACGCCGGCAAGTGACCGCCGTGTCTCCTTAAGAGAATACTGTAACGATGCCGCCTCTTGAAAACCAACGACAGGTTTCAAGCTTCAGTAATGTGGAATGGTGCGCCACCATGTGGTGCACGATTTCGCACGGAAGAGCATAGTTTTATCTGATTTACTTGATATTTTTCAAGGTTCCTAAACTGTTTGCACTCAATTTCATGGACGGGAAACCCATCACAGGTAAAATTGTTGAAAGATGTGATGATTCCTTTTGAAAAATATAAAAAAGATAGGGAGATATCCATACAACGGCCTGCGCAATGTGTTGAAATGCTCCCACGTCTATAAACTCTCAGGCTCCAATCTATAAGCACTGGAGATTAGGAGCTCGAATATCCTTCGAGAAAGGTGGCCAAACGGTTCGCAGATCAGCCTGTCTTAAAGGAATCTTGCGCGGAAAATTCTTGCACTCTTTCCTAACATGAATATGTCAGTTGTGATCACTGGAAATAGCACACAAAGTTTCACGCATGAAGATTCGGTTTCTGAAGAGAAACAAACGTACAAAAACTACACGTTATGGACCATCGAAGGACCAGGAGGCAGAGCCAGGCGAGGCATGGAAAGAAGACGGCGTTTGGCCGGCTACGTACCAGGCGACGCAATGAGAGAATCGGGTTAAAGCGCGCGATTTCGGAGAGTGGAGACAAATCGATCGATGGAATAGGATGGAGTAGAAGTGTAAGATGTGAATGCAACGAAGCAGAAGGCCAGAAAGAGCTTCTAGTGAATGCACTCCAAGAACCAAGTTTGAGCATCCCCGTCGCCAGCATTCGTGAAAGACGTCCGTGGGCAATTCGTATAACTTATTGAAAGACATGCGTAGTTAATATGGGCGAGGGGGTTGTACCTTCGCAAACCCCCGCCAGCCCGAAAAAGGAAGGGGCTCGTAACACAATTTCGCGTCATTTGCGCATCGTCTGCCCGGCTCGACCTCCCGTCCAGCCTCCACCAATCTATCCATCACAAGCGCCATGACACTTCGATGGATGCCAGACCAGCAGCCGCGCGATCCCTCACTGCCCTCTATAAAAAGGTCGCGAGCGCGTAGCAGCCTTTTCGAGTTTTCGAATTTCTAATCAAAACGAAAGCAATACTTCAGTTCTTTTCACTATTATCGTGGATAATGAGTCTCAAGCCAGTGATTTATGGCTGAAATAGAATCATGATTTTTCCGCGCAAGATTCCTTTAACCCATTCGCGACCAGGCGCAGTTATTCGGGATTGCGCAATAGCAGCAGCGTCAGGAGATTTTTCTTCAATAAAATCCGAGTGAAGGGAGATTTCCTCTGCCCAGGGCTGGCGTAGATGAGCGAGGGTATGAAGATTCTTTCCATGGAAGAAAACTTTCCAAATTCCATTTCAAGCCCAACAGCCTGCAGTAATACCATTGTCCCGAGTGAGAGCTTTGTCAGCCACCGCGCGGTGCTGACCATTGTCCCGAATGGGTTTCAATGTTGAGTGTTTAAGATGCGGTGCACGACTCCACTTACGGAAGCGACTTCTAGCTCTACTAGTAAAATAAGGAGTTTTCTGGGAAAGATACTTGCTGTCATCGCCAGTAATAAATAACGGCAATTTTCTAAGCTGCACTTATACCTCTCACGGAAATCAAACTTGCAAAAAGCCTCCAAGTTCACTCTTATCTATTTTTTTCTACTATTATGTTGTCCCATAAGAAGCGTCGCTTTTTTTCAAACAAAAAATTTTATGGTGAAATCCTAAGTTTTTACAACAACTTCTATATCGTTCGAAAGAAAATTGTCTACGCTACAAGACGCTATAGATATATTCTTGATCATGATATATTCATGATCCTCTCAAAGTTTTCATTTTTATGCCTGCGAAATGGGAGGTCCAGCCGACAAAAATTGACCAAACCGACAACTAGCTCTAACTTTATGTTCCCTTCGGAGAAATCAATCAATGATGTACCCTCTACTTACTCATGACCTCTTCTAAACATTCCACTTTAGGTTGTTGAAAAAGTTTAGTCGTGTTCTTTACGAGCTTTTTTTTTTCCGGTTGACCACTAAGCAATAGCCGATTTTTTAAACGAAATTCTCCCCCTGAACCACCACTGTTTTATATTAGATGGTTATCATTCGTAAGCGCCTGTTCTGCTCTAGTTACTCATCTGTTTTTGTTTTTATACTCGTTGTGAATTAGTTGAATTTTAGGCTTCGTGAGGTGTTCAGCCCACGAAAATGACCACATTACTTTGAAAAAATTACCCTGAGAAGATGAGAAAATCAACCAGGCGTACATTCCTAACTTAGTCATGACTTGTTCTTAAATTCCACTAGTTTTTCAATGTCTCGGCTGTAAAAAAATTTGACCTAGATCTCAAGTAATGGTGCTTGACCGTCGAGTTCTGGTTGAAAAACCAGGTCTGGAAAAGGAGCGACGCGACTTGTTGGGAAGCCTAATAGCAGAATGTTTTGAAGAGGTCGTGGCTAAGTAGATAGTTCATCACTGACTTCTCTTAGAGGAAAATAGAGTCAGGGCAAAATGTCGGTTTGGCTAAGTACTGGACCTGCCCCTTCATGGGCCTTAAATTTAGAAATCTGCAACGAATGCAGAAGGGAAACTTTATAGAGCAGACAGTTCTTTTTAAAATGGTACATAACCTGTTATAAAACAACGAAACTAGCAGAAAAGTTTATGTTTGAATAAAATCAGCACTACCTATGTATGGGACAACCTAATATTTCAACAGTCTTCCCTAAAGTTTCACTGTTTCTTCATTTGAGTGCAATCTGGAATCAAGCAATATTGCTCAAGCGGCGACAAATGTCTCGTACATTATAAGGAAGCAGAAAAGGTGTAGTGGCAAATGGGCGCCGCTTACCACACAAGCGGTCCGGGAATCAAATCCCGCATTGTACGCAGTCCATGTCATCCAGGTCGTACATCCCTTTCAAATCAGTCAATTGGTACCAGATTCGACAGTATAAAAACACTGAGTTTTACAGCTGGCGCGCTGGTCACAGCATGGGCGAGTCCGCATTTAAAGTGCCACTACTACTCTGAATTTACGTATAATAGGATGCGTGGCGCATCCTGTAAAGAAACCATCAATGCCGGCTGCTTTATCCTTGTTCACATCATTAAGGAAAAAACGGGCTCACCGCTTCAGGACCTTCCATCAGTTGGCGAGCCAAGCCGGATTTGCCGCGGTGTCTCGCCGTGTGACAGATCGGAAAAACCAGCATTATTTTCTTTGAAACAGTTTTATCAACATAGCAAATTTAATGCGCTGATCACGAATACGGCATAGATTAGGAGCGTTCGCGCCATTTGGCACCAGTTTGCCTCCTAATTGGCGCTATCTTGGCGCCACGATATTTCCCTTGTCAAATTCGGCAAACACCTATATGTGGTAGTTATTCCCTCCGCTGAACACGAATAAGACCCTGGTCACGGACTCGAAATTTGCGGCGCCGAAATGGCTTCAACGCCGCCTGATCGCCCCTGCGGCAATAACACAGGGCCGTTTTGGCTGCGGTTTAGCTCGAATCCGGCACACTGAGCAAAATTTGGCGACGAAAGTCTGCAACTTGAGAAGCATCATCGGTTGTGCGGGGTATTATTAACCCGAATGAAGACGACGTTTTGAACATGCAAGCAAAAGCGACGAATAAAGGCCGATGTGCGGACCGAGGATGATGTTCTGCTAGATCAAACCTCCTTCGATAAAGAATATGGACTTCATAATGATGCTGCTGAGACAGCAGATGTTGTCGAGGCTGCTATAGCATGCTTTCCGACGAACATGGTAGTTACTATATTAGATCACATATAGAAAAGTGGGAACTCGATGTAGTACTTGTGGGGGCTTCTTCTGTATTGAATACTTCCAAACGCGCCACAAATTTTGGGAGAAATCTCAACTGCTAGTTGCGTCATATTACGTTTTGTGTTATTTTTGAAATGTAGTAAAACGATATCAAGTGAAAAACCTAAGGCAAATGAATATTATTAGCCTTACAGATATAGAAGTAATCAGAAGAAAGAAAAAATATAAGCATTTCAATAAGTTGGGGTGTCGCCCGACATCGGGTGCCATCGTCCCACGCGGCAGAAAAGGTGTCGCCCGACGTCGGGTGCCATTGTCGCCAATGTGTTAAGGAAAAAAACGGGCTCACCGCTTCAGGACCTTCCATCGTGGACATATAGCCACATATATGTTTGCGGATGACGAAATTAATTTCAACAAAACGTCAACTCTCTACTCACTTAGGGTAGTCCGGTGTCACCAGGGCGATATGAGAGTTCAAAAAAAGGCCCAAAAAGAAATTGCTAACGGATATTGAACGATGGAAACGGTACTTCAGTTCGCATCCATTTTCGCACATTACTAACACAGAAAAGAATAAATCATTGCTGTTACCTATTTCCACCTGCCCTAACCGACCCGCTCGTCCACTCATTTGTTTGTAAGTAATCGCATTGATGGCTGCAGGACCTCGAGTCTGCGCCTTGATGACAACACGACTCGCCGGCAAATTCACACCTGAATGGAACAACAAATTCGCACCACAGGAATGATGGTCGTTGTCCTTCCTCTGAATGATAAAGGTCAATGAAAACGTTGTAAATAATACCAGAAGAAAGTGTGCTTGTAGCGACCAACACAATGATTACGCCAGTACGGAAACCGTCTTCAATGTATTCCCTCTCCTCGGCGGTTAGACCTGGAAATTCTCGACTTCGATCTCATCTGACTAGATTCCTTGCAAACTCGTATTGGGAAAAAATTACACCATCATGGTCATGGAGTACAAGGAGGGGACTCGTGCACACGATCGCAATCCGTGACCAATGGCTGCGCACGACTACTATGGGCTGCTTCCGCTGGAGACAACTAAGTTCCTGTGTGCTCCCCTCATCACGGTTCCAGTTCAAATTATCAGACGCTTTCAGACGCTACCAAAACGTTCGTATGAGTGCGACTAATTGCGCACGATTTTTATCTTTTCCCGCAAAAATTTTCGCAAATCGCGACAAACAACCCAAAACATGCGAAAAACGAGCCTCTCCGAAAGGGGCCAACTTGTCAGAAGCCGTATGTTTCTGGCTTCACTTTTTTTAACATATTCACTTGTGCATCGCCCGTTCACGCACCAATTTCCACAAATGAAAATCGCGCACACCCAAAAATGAAAGCTGATACGATATAATATTATACTTTTTAGATCCTAAGGTTTTGTGAAAAACTGGTCCAGATTAACATCTCCACGTTTGCGATAAAGCAATATTAAATAGCACCCATAAATTCAGCAATTATAAGTACGTGCGATGTAGTGGGATCACATGTATAACATGGGCCAAAATCAGACGCGGGTGTGTTGAAGGCAAGCTCCGGGATCAGCCCGTCTAGTAGGAAGGATACCGCGAGGGGAACTGAAAGGTCCGTCCCTACCTAGATCATGCCAGTTTCGTCGCACAACTTGCGTGACTAGGGCGCTGGTCTTTACGGGCCTGCATCGATTGACCCCCCCCCCTTGCAACGCTCCCCACCCAACGCCACTGATGAAGAAATCAGCGTGCTATCTCGAGCGCCGGCTCTCTCGCGCGTTTTGTCTTCTCTGACCGTCCTGTCTCACATCTGACTTTAGTGAAGGCCAAAGTCCTAATTTTAGCATTTCCGATTTCTCTTGCCTTCCTTTCCACTTTCGGTTCATTCCGCAACTGAAGTGAGTCATCACTGCGAAGCGCTGGTCTACACCAGTTTTATCCCGGAGTTTGCTTTTATTCAGAACTTATCGATTTGATAATCGATTCTGTCTTCGTTGTATGGCGTGCCGTATCGGAAATGAAGATAAATAAATAAAAACCATCAAACACGCGCCCCGGAGGGACGATGCGCGTTTCGCAAAAGGCATGCCCCAGCGGACTAACAGGGTCATGTCCGCGACACTTGCGCCGCTGCCCACCTCCGCTGACTCTAGCCGTTCAGTGGAGAGAGAAGAGCGTTAACGTTAAAGACAGCTGTGATGAGAGTCGCATCAATGCGAGCCAGTAAGAGGTCTTTCTCGGGTTCTAAGCTGTGTCATGTATGTTTCCTCATCCTCTATCACTGGCCACCTGTACCTTGATTTCTAATGGGCTGGTGGGCTGTCACAAGGATGGAATAAATGGGAAAAGTACGGCTCAGAACTTTTCCGAGCCGTACTTTTTTATGACTATTATACTATTATTACTCTACTATGCTATTATTTTCTGAACAGCGTTGCGATCGCGTACAAGACTCCTCGTACACACACGGGACATAGAAGGTTGGTAGTTGCAGAACATTAAAAAAAACCTGCGTGATGGAACGCAACCCCTCTAGGGATGGTTTGCGCTAAAACAGCGTCGACAGCGCCGGCAGATTGCTCCAGATTCATTCTAATCCGATAAAGAGCAGCTCGGTCTAGACGAGCAGCAATAACTTGATTGGAGCGATATATCTCGTCTAAGATTTTCGCCAAATCAAGAGCTACCTGGAAAAAAGAAGCAAAGATGGAGTGAAAACACAACTGCCATGAGAAAGAAACTTGCCATACTGGCAGAAAGGGGGTAGAGATATTTCCAACAACCTTAAATCTCTCCAACCTTTTCAACATCTGCTTTTGATGAACAGAATACTAGAACAAGCTTGCGGAAGAAAATACCTTCGGCTGCTAAACTGGAACAAGAAATATCATGGAAAGAATTACTGAAATCAATAATTGAAGCAGACCCTAAAACGCATTCGGGATCGCCCGCAATTCGGAATCTCTTCGGCACGTCTCTGATAACGACATCGGACTTCAGGTCGCTGATTCGACCACTGCAGCAGATTCGTTCATGCAGCTCAACTGGTCGAAAGTGAGTTTCAATCACCTAGAAAACAGCACCTATGATTGATTTGAATAACTTTAAAAAAAATCATTAAAGGAGGATTTTACGATTAGAATGGAGGTCGAGGAAGAAGTAATTCACCTAGTTGAGTAACCCACGGACCTCCTGAGGGTGCGAACTGATGCGCAATTCGCATCGAAAAATTTGACCTCGGCGACCTATTATGCCTCAAAGTTGGCGGGTCTGGCGATCTCCGCCCACCGACCAGCTGATCACTCGCCGCAGATCTATACGTGGGATTGATTAGATAGCAGAGGGAGTGTGGGGGAATTCAGAGAGCGTAGAATGTGAGGAGGGCACAGCGATAAGAGTCGCATCAATGCGCAAATCAGCGGGGAAGGGAAGGGGTCCCATTTCTCGGGTTCTGGGCCGTTTCTCATGGTTCTTCCTTCTTTCGTGTACCAATCACCATCCCTGAGTTAATTTGAAATGGGTTGCCTTCCCAGCGTGAATTCGTCCTTTAAAACTATATTAATGGCAGGTATGCTTAATTTAATTCTCGATCCTTGCGGAGATTTTTTTGTCATTGACTGGGTGCTGTAACAAAAGAATGGCAAAAATGCGTCCAATAATTAAAGAGGGGCAGTATAGAGGCTGGCGCATGATAAAACGCTGTTGAATGGGGTGAGCACGCTACTCAAATCATTGCGATTTCTGGAGGAGTGTGTATATGGTTCATGATTCTAACAACTGGCAGTCCGGCAAAGGCGTCGCTTTTGAGTCCCGAATCACGCCTAATCACCATAGCTGTTTCATCAATACTTGATCCTGGCCACTACCTGAACTAAAAATTTTGAGTTAATACACTAGTGGGGCTTCGAATGCAGAGGGAGGGGAAGAGAGAGAGTTCTACTGTTTAACACTGAAACTTTTAGAGCTTCTCCTAATTTCAAAAAAATATTCTTTCTTGTCCCTTAGAAATGTGATATCCTTCCTGGAACCATGAAATACAACTTCTTTGAGAAGTTCCTAACGGAAGTTCAATCCTGCATACTCGGCACTTCTCAGCGCAAGACTGGCAAGGCCAACAATCCATTTATTAGCTATAAAATGCGTGCCATACTTAAAGTGGCCAATTTTGAGAAACTAAACCTGCCAAATTCTTCGAAAAGAAAATCAATCACGGAAAAAATAACGCAGCCTCATCCAGTAGATCCGTCCCATGATTAGCCGAGGATTTCCCTGTCTCCTAAAAAAAATTCCCCAGACGGCTATGTATCGCGCTTTGAGAAGAAGTGCAGTCATTTGATGTTCCATCCTTGGACTAACATTCAAAGCGAGCAAGCCTTGCACGCTTTATCCAGAATGCTAGACAGACATACGAGGCGTATTCGAACCTTTGTACTCAATTGAGCACATACAGGATGCTTCAAACACAGGATCGATCAAGGAGCTGCCGCAGTTTTACGACTTCATTATTTGTCCGCACCTTTCTTTCATATTGCCTGCCTCACGAATACCCGTGAAAAGAGAGTTAGATATTCTTTTGTGGAGGAAAAAAGCAGCACCACCTCTAACCGCACAAAAGCTGGAGAACTAATCGAGAACTTTCTTCGGTTTCAGCTGCTCTTCAAAGCCATGCAAAACCGGGCACTTCGGCCACTAACACTGTACGACTTCAAGTTTCGGATAAATGCTTCAAAATCAGGTCGAATATGTTGTTGCTTTTGAGGGAATGCTGTAAAGAAGGATGGTTTCAATTCACAGAATCTAATTCTTTAAGATGGAGGAATACTCGTAAAATAGACGATTCTCTGAAAGAAGTGGTGGAGGCCAATCTGAGGTGTATGCCCATAAATTTGGCAGAAAGGCTTGGAGTTTCCTAAGGGTATCCCCGCTGAATCACCTGCATTCAATGGGAAAAAGTATTACCACTGAGCCCCTGACGAGCTTACAGCTAGATGACAGTGCACATCGCGTGTACACCGATTCTACATCGTAACATGAACCAGCCATTTTTGTACTTTCGTATACTAAGATGCAATGGAACCTGGATTCTGCGCGAAACTTCGGAAATGTGACGAATGGGTTGGCGATTACGCTTCCTTTGGAATATCCAACCTGGGTTCCATCAGAGAAGGGCATTTGTACCGCGCAAGCGTCTACCGTAGACGCCATATCACTGCAAGCCACGAACAGATCAGGCAATAACCGTTCGAGCCCTGACGTGAAAAACATGATCATAAATTCACAAAAACTCCCTGACAGGTCCAGCTTCGGTGAAAACGAGAAGGCCTCGAACTTCTTGTACACAACGTCACACCGCCCATGACGAAAGATGCAAACTAAACCGGAAGTTATGTTCCCACGCACGCATTTCTATGATCACGAACTACACTCTCCCGCTCCCCAAATCATTTATTAGAGGAGAAATCGTTCCGAAATTTGGAGATTTTGAAATGGCTCTTCAACAGCTCTCGGTTCAAAGTGTTCAAATTTGTGCTGGAAGTGGATTCATTTCCTTGCAGAACGTTCGAAAAAATGTGCTGCCATGTTATAAGGTTAACCAGTTTTGCTCCGCTCGCTATCGCGCGCATAACACGGTAGGCTTCAGCGAAACTGGAGGACTTAAGGAACATCTGGTGATCTACTCCACAAAGCAGCTCACTATTGGATATGACAGTGGAGTGACCTGAGGTTGGAGGATCGTCGCTTTCATTAAAGTCCATCATATACATGCGCGTGTGAATGCGAAGCTGAGTCGGTATATTTATCACAACTCGTAAACACCTAGCATTTTTCTTGAATCCTGACAATTTAGCGGTGATTAGAGTTTTGCTGTTAGCCTTAGAATGAAAATGAAATATGCTCCTTATAAAAAGTGAGATCTGATGCTCATCTTTGCTTTACATTCACACCTAAGCAATTCCTAAAGTTTAGCGGTTTAATGAGTTTGGCTTCGCTCGCTACCGCGCGTCAAAGTACATAGGCGGTAACAAAAATGAGCACAGCCGGGCCCTTGTGTTGAACAGCACTCATGCTTTTGATGGATCTGAGAGATGTTATCAACGAAGGTGACTATACTGCTGGTGATAAAGCAATTGTTTACGGGAGCTCGTCAACCCCACAAACGTCCATCATTTTTCGGAAAAGACATGGTCTAGCGGCCGAATAAGCTCAGATAACTAATACCTTTGTTGAAGTTGCACGATAGTTGTTTACGCTATCAGGACTATGCATGGACAACTATCATGCTTTGGATGTTGAGATATTCTAGCGGTTGCAATTCTTACGTCCATTGTTACGTCTATGGCATTGAAAGAGAAGCACCAACACCCATTATGCACAAACATTTTTGTCGCCATCTAGATAACAACTTTAACGGCTCTTCATTTTTACCCGATCAATCTTATCAGCCCTTATCAGGTGTTATCGCTTTTTGTCCCCCGCCCAGTATGTTCCCGTCCCACCCCTGTATCATATCTTGAAATCAACTCCTGACGACTTCTGCTACCCGCGCTATGAATTTCGCGACACTTGCGTTCCAGCGCCTTTTATCAGCCCTTATCAGGTGTTATCGCTTTTTGTCCCCCACCCAGTATGTTCCCGTCCCACCCCTGTACCATATCTTGAAATCAACTCCTGATGACTTCTGGCTACCCGCGCTATGAATTTCGCGACACTTGCGTTCCAGCGCTTTTATCAGCCCTTATCAATCGTTATCAGTTTCTAGCACCCACCAACAATGTCCCCGTCCCACCCCACATAACACTTGTAAGTATGGTTGCTCTGGTGTCAACGCGAGCCAGGCAACGGAATCGACGACTTCAGCGTTCTGGCGCGCCTTATCGGCCCTTATCAATCGTTATCAGTTTCTGGCACCCACCAACAATGTCCCCGTCCCACCCCACATAACACTTGTAAGTATGGTTGCTCTGGTGTCAACGCGAGCCAGGCAACGGAATCGACGACTTCAGCGTTCTGGCGCGCCTTATCGGCCCTTATCAATCGTTATCAGTTTCTGGCACCCACCAACAATGTCCCCGTCCCACCCCACATAACACTTGTAAGTATGGTTGCTCTGGTGTCAACGCGAGCCAGGCAACGGAATCGACGACTTTTGCGTTCTAGCGCATCTTATCAGCCATTATCAGTTGCTATCGCTTCCAATCATGTACCACCAATGTCCCGGGACCGCCCCACATAAGACTTGTAAGTATAGACGCTCTTTACCAATATGAACGGCAAAACGAAATTGGCGATGCTCGCTTTCTAGCCCCTCTTATCAGCTATTATCAGTCGTTATCAGTTCCTATCACGTACCACTTGTGTCCCCATCCCACCCCTATAACATATGTAAGAACCACTGCGCTATCGTTACTGTGACTCGAGCTATGAATTTCCGGTCAAACACACACACACACACACACAACAGACACACGCTAGCCGCTTATATATAGTAGGAGTAGGATTTTCGAATGAAACAGTTTTTTTGAATGGAGTTATGATTTTCAAAAACTATGCGTTAAAGGAACGAGTCAGGATTGATTTGATGCGTCATTTTGTTCGAAAATTAGGCAAGGAGCGCACTGAGGAACACTAGTGAGGAGAAAAAGCAAAAAGCACCATTGAAAACACTAAATTGTGCCTTCAAGGAGTGCCGGTTGTGTAGCATAATGCGAAGAATATCAGTGCTGCGAGAGAGTGACGAAGCGAGATAGTACGTTGGTTAGACACGGACCACACTACTGCGCGTGTTGATAACGCTAGCAGCACGGCAGCACACAAGGCAAGGCCTTTGCGCCGTTAGCTCGCACTTTTGAGTCGCGACACTGTCGTGCCTCCTGCCCTTGGGGACCCCTCTCCCTTCCAATAAGAAGGACTGGCTCTTGGAACCTAATCCCGACTCGTGGCTTTGAAAAAGGCGCTTAATCTTTGACCGACCCAATAAAACCAACGACAGAATCACTGCTCACGGATGGACACGAAGGAGGGGTACTGGAAAACTCACGTGCGCGTATGCACCGCAAGGCCGGCATGTC